TTTCATGAATAATTGAAAAATTAGAAATGTTCTAGAAGGTGCTCGTCTTGCCGTTACCCGAAAAATTCTTAGTACAATATATGTATAAAAATTAAATTTTTAAAGAAAGGTTATTCAAGATAATAAAATTACAGAATTATTGTTTGAAGAAAACACAAAACTAGTTTTTCTAGTCTTTAATATAAGATTTCATTAAAGATAATGTACATTCATACATTTTTAAAACATCAAAAAAGAAAAAATTGATTTATGAAATCTGTTAAATAAGAAATTAAGCCTGTTTATTTTCAAAGCATCAAAATTCGAGTTACTCGATTGCACTATTAAATATTAATGCTTGATTGATTTAAGCTACTAACTTATAAAATATATAGAAGAATATATCAAATAGAATATTCTTTAATCTTATGTAAAAAGCTTTACTTATTTATAAGTAGAGGGCGAAATGATGTGCATTTCTACATTTTATTTGAGCCACTTTGTCGTAGAATTATATAAGATATAAGAATTATATAAGATTGTAGAAATTTATTTTCATTTTAGGGGGATTACCATTCAAAAATTGTTTTAAATGCATATAATCCGGTCTCTATTAGTTAAGCATTTTTAATCTATTATTTGAAAGGAGAAATGATTAATAAACAAAAGATTAAATCTTTTATTAAATTCTTTTGTTGAAAGAAAAAAACAAATCATATATGTATGCACATTGTATACTGAAGAATTTCTTCATAACTTACAAGCAATATGATGAGATTTACATTTCGTACTATATTACAGTAAAAAACAGTAAACACTAACCAACTAAATTTAATATGAGTACTTATTCTATATAACTTGAAATTTTTAAAACATTTCTGACTTCTCAGTTGTTGTAAAGTTGATAAGATTTACTAGAATAGTATTCATTAACTCGTAACTTTTTGTTTTCTTAAGAAAAGAAATACTTAATACGTGTTACAAGTTTTACTATTTTACTTCTACTTTAAACACTGCTGTAACTCCATGTATCATATTTTATATAAAGATTTTCATCACTATCATAGTGGCTGTTGTTGTATAGCTTTTGAGAGATTGTGTTTGGAGGAGTTTGGATAAAACGACATAGTTGAGGATTGTGCATGAAAACAAGCAGTGATGGGGTATGTGAAAAATTGAGTCGATTTATCAGCAAACGATAAACGGTCAAATCGACTGTGCTGATAGGGATAAAGCCGGACGTCCGAAAGTCGTTGTTTCTCCGTTTATATTACATTAAATAGTATAGAACTGAATAGCATGGAAACGAGAGATGTTCGCTTTATTAAAACAAGTAAATCGAATATAATGCTAGTTATTCGTTTAACACTCGCATCCGATACCATAAACATGTACGAGAGACTAGAAGAATAAAGTATATAAGTGTTGAAGTTCAAATGTATTAAAAAAATAGATACAATGTGATCGAAGTAGTATTTAAATGACTATTATTAGTATTTTCAATACTTATATAATTAAATTTTAACAATAGTTTATTAAATTTGATCATGGTTGGTCTTGAAAATACAAAAGAGCTTGGGTTCGATACAGTAGTGTAGTTTGTATATTATTAGAAATTATAATAAACAATTGCATGACTGATTTTTTTAGTTCAAATCAACATTTTTTATGAAAAATTAGTAAATCGATTTTTTTTTTGTTCGTTAAACAAATCTTAAAATATAAGATATATTGTGTTACGACCTATTTTTTATGAGGTGATAATATATATATATATTTATAGTTGAAACTAAACTACTGATTTGATTATTGATTCCACGAAAATGTGTCTTCTATAAAATTTTCATGATAGTTTTACTTAAATATTCAATTGATAATAACCACGTACAGTTTTCATTTAAATAATATATCAACTGACAAATGTCGATGCTAAACTGATTTAATTTTCCTATTAATGACTTTTATAACTTGTAAAATATGCATTTCACGTATTGCATGTCCAAAAACATATTTTATTCTGATTACACATTCAATTTGAATTTTCAAGCTTTTTTACTATTAATAAAATTTGACGTAAATTTTTAATTTATTGAATTGAATTTCGTTTATTACTTTTAGATACAAACAAATAGGTTTCGAGTGATATAATAATTATAGAAGTAAAAATTAATTAAAGACATATATTATTAATATGCGTTTCATAAACGTGTTTATAACAATTTATTGATAAATGATACAAATCGAGAATGCATTAATCAAACCATGAAAATAAAATTGTTATTAGAATTTTATTGTTAATAAAATTTAATTTCTATTTTTTTTCGATTTATTGAGCATTTAATTCTAATAATTTATTTTTACATTGAGTCAGATTTGCAGTTTAAATTTTCAAAAGTGTAGTTACTGTGGTGGTTTTCAACAAAAGGAAGCAAATGAAATTTGACATTATAATAATAAAAATAATTTTTTGTGTAATATAAATGGAATTTATTTTTATTTTTTGTAAAACAATAAATATATTTAATAAGTTACAGCAGCCATCGTAGAATAACTTTCAATTCAATGGTGTCAAGTGTTAGAACTCTTTAATTTATAAAAATAAAATCGCAATACTATTGTTTTTTTTATTTTTAAATTAGATAAATAAAACCCCCAAAATTGAATCAATTTATTCGCTTATTTATTTTATTTAGATTTTTAAAACGACTAATTTTTTTACAAAGCGAAAATTGTAATGAAAATTAATACAACATTTGAAATTTTAAACATAGAAGAAATATTTCATTGTATATTCTGATTCACGTTTTGTTCCATCAATTTATTACTTGACCATGACTATTTTATGCACGTATGCACCATTTAAATCAGTCTCATCTATCTAATGAGGCGGATCTTACACTACACATCAAACAACATCATTGAACACATCGATGCAAAAAAAGACAAATTTTAAAAAATATATACACGTGACAAGAATAAAATAACATTGAACGTTTAAGAGCTGTGGTTGGCGAAGCTTGTGAATTATTTATCATCTCTACTACTAGGCAGCTTGTTAAAAAAACCATGTCACTTGGGTTCTATAGAATTGTATCAAATATAGTAGATACAACTCTTTATAATTGTATTACTAATACTTAGAGTTTTTTTAGCTTTGATGCGAAGCTTGGAAAGTATTTATATTTACATTTAACTTTGTGATTCTAATAACTTTTATTTTTTTCCATATACATTCATTAATGTTGCTAAAGTGAATAATAGAAGGTAGGGCAAGCACATTTTAAATTTTACAATCGTTATTCACCCCTCAAGAATTACATGACTTTTTTTTTTATCTTCACTCCTATATTATCTTTTAATAATTGGATTACCTTGATAGGGACATAAATTCGTAATAAAACTAGGTTATTCATTGTTGGTTAATTTTTATTTAGGAAACAATTATTGAGGGTATTCAAAAAATGTTTAACCTCATGATAGAAAAATGTACACCAAAAAATTAGTGCTTGAGTTGGATTTAATATATTTTACAAAGTTTAGTTTACCTTTATTTTTTATTACAGTATATAAAATAGTTTGCATATTCGGATATAATATTTTTAAACAAATAACATCTGAAAACAGACTTGTATTCCATGCCAATCGCCGGGCAATTTAATCGATAAGACTCGTATATTTTGTCTAGTCAATTTTTGATAACTATAGAAAAATTTTATTTAATAGAAGTTAGTATTCAGGTTATAACGTTTTATAAAAAATGTTTTTTTAAACTTAAATAGATTAGAAAGTTTTAAAATTTATAAGGGCTTCAGTACACGATTGTTAATATTTTAATTACTTACAACAGTTGATTTACATGTCAAACATCAACTAATAAACTACTTTTCTGGAGGGCAAGCAACTGATTTAGTGAAACTTAGGAATCGTCATTACTGATATTTGTTAGTTAAAAATAGTCTAATCAAATTAAATATGCAACAGTTATAATATAGAATTACAGTATTCTATTTTTATAAATATATTATCTACTGGTGAATTTTTTTAATAAAAGAAAAGTGTATTATAGAAATACATTTTTTTATACCAATAAACTTCACATGTACTATTAATGTAGCATACAATTTTTCTCTTAAAGACAACCACCGATTTACTCGTATTAGGCCATGGAAACACTCAATTTTCTTATCTGGAAAAAACTTATTATCTTTCTTTTATTATTGTTATGCTTCCTGCTGTGGGAGCAGTTCTTTTTTTTCATTTTCTCTTAGCTAGTCCCACGTCGCACATAAATTTTATTTGTAAGCTGAGACTCCATTCATTCAAGTATATGCAGACCAGATAAGTTTTATACTTAAATGTATATCCCTTGATGTTTAGCTACCGCTCTTTTCATCGTGTATTTTTTTTTTGTTTTCAATTTTGGCTTAAGTCCCAAAAAACAAAAACATTAGATTTGGATTTTAAAAGCAATCATATGTTTGATTGATTACTGTTCTCATGTATAATTATTAGGTTTTAGCCAAGTCTTAAACAAAATAATTTTGACTTAAAAACTTTCATAACTACCGATAGATTTTTATTACGAATTATTTTCCAAATGTATACATAATTGAATCGGACGTTAAAATATTTTGTTTAATAGGTACACATGAGATGCTTCTTTAAAAATAACATTATAATTATACTTTAGTATATATATTATATTCTAGTAAAAAAATATTAAACTAAACAGAATAAAGTGATATATTTATTAGATTTAAGAAATATATACATATATTATGATACCTATACTATATATGCATATATATTTTTTAAGATGGAATAGACATTTTAAGTATGTTTTATCATAAAATTCTCAGTAGTTAAAAATCAATAAAAAACAATTACTAGGAAAACGTTTTTTAAGTGGTGTTTTTATCATTATGAAATAACTTGTAGTTTAAAAGAAATGATATGGTAATTAAGACTATCTTTTGAAGTCTTAATATTTTTTTATATTTTTAATCAATATGTTAGCTTACCATTTAGAATATGAATAGTAATTGCTGCAGAAGCTGACGGTGATCCAACAAGACACGTGTAGTTGCCTGAATGTTTTTTTTGAACATGTTTAATTTTTAAGGTAGATACAACAGTGGTGTAACTAGCATTGCTGTTTATTCTGAAATAATGAAATATTAATAAATTTATAAATACAATATAAGAGTATATGATAAATTTTTTATAAGATAAAATCATATTTTACTAAAAAAAATGGTTTTTAGATACGGCTGTAGTTTTATTTTATTTAAAATTTAAAAAATATGCTTTGACTTTTAGCAAAAATTTTAATGCTTTTGGTTTTATTTTCATAAAGAATATAAAGCCGAAAAAAAAATTATCTGAATAACTCTATTTTATACTAACAATATTGAAAATGCTTGATAACTAAGAAAAATGAACTAAAAATTAATGTTTACTCAAACTGTATTTTACAGAATAATTAACTGATATAGACTAATAACGATTTAAATTGATTGATGAAATACAAAACGAGTATTTTTAATTGATAAGAAATATATTATGCTTTTTATCAATGAAATTCACTAATTATTAATTAGAAATTTTCTCGTAATATAAAAATTATTATTTTCGTAAAAGGCTCATTTCTAACTTAATAAACAGAATAATACACAAAAGTCTACCAGCTTAAAATAAATTTTTGATTACTCTGATTAATGCTCTCCTCGAGACGTTTCGTGAGGTTACTTTAGTTTGCAGGATTTCATAAACATAACAATGATCAGATTAATTATAAAAATAATTCCAATAACAATTTTGGTGTCTTTGAATAGCTTGAAACTATTTGTATGAACTATTTCTATTATTCAAGTATTAAAATTATAGTAACCTTTCGCTGATTCCGGAAGAAATTGATTGCCGTCCTCTATACCACAACACTTTGGATCCGTTATGGATTCCGACATGGAATATCTTACAAACGATCTCCAGCGTACTGCCAATTTTGAAAAAGATATCACTTTCATCTCTAGTCACGTCACCAGTCCCGGTAACAGACATTCGTACTATAGGTACTATAAAATAAAACAAATTAAGAAAACAGTTAAACGTTGGTCAATAAATTAATGTATTATAACTACAGGATTAAGTTTATGTTAAAGGTAATTATTGTATTTTACAATTATTATTACGGTTGTTACACTGGTCTACAACAATTTAATTTCATTAACCTTTCGTACGGTCGCCTCGAGCCAGTCGAAATTATTTGTTTTCCAAACATACTCTAGAATTTATATTGTTTTGAATTTTAAGAGAATCGGTAAGGCGGATAGGATTAAGAGGACGACCACGGTTAGTCACTCTTTATTGGTTCTTGGTGGTTGCGGCGGTGTTGACCGCAGTCGTTTTCAAACGACTGGTATGGGAATATTCTATAGGAGGCCAGCTGGACAAACGAGACCCGAGGGGAAACGAAAGGACCAAATTTAATACGCGTCCCTAAAATTATGTGTACACACCGTTTCAATTGGCCCGGACTCTAAGACCTTATTATCATAGACGCCACGTATGTCACTACGACAATCGGAGTCTTTTTTATTTTAGGTAAAAAGTTATATGATTATGTCGCTCAATATTTTAGCTAGAAATGAATCACCATTATTAAGTGAACAAAATGGTATTCAAGTTATCGAGTAAAACTTAATAAATATGTAGTAATATAATAATATTAATAATAAATATTCATTCAATATAAGTTTGTTTAAATCATTTTTTGATTACAAATATCTATGTTGAATGTTTAGGATTCAAGCATTAGAGGAGATAATACAGAAAACGTATATGGAAATTAAATGGAGGTTAGGTGGTTACCAGAGATGGAAACTTTTGTAATAAAATGTTGTCGATTTCCATTAAGACTTTTGAAAGGTTACCTTATCTGAGATTTTAATCGGAACCCGTTTGTTATGAAAACTTTCTAAAACTTTACTTTTAAAAATTTTAAAGTTGTTCGCGTATAGACTAGAAATTTTGATCCGTAAGGTGTTAATTAGAATTATTATTTTATCATTTATATTGTAGTAAAGTTAACAGATATTACGTTAACTCATAATATAAAACAAATATATAATAGTAACAGGAATATCTGATATGATAACGATAGTTGAGATATTTTACCTTGTCATGTTCTACAGAGAAAAATTATTTGTATTTTTATGTCGACAAATAATTTGTACGGGTCACAAACTCTATTTTAATGCAAGTTCGTTAGCTTTGTGAATGCATTCGATCTGTGACATTATCATTGGTGATTTAAGGGCACTAGAGGTTATGTATTTTGCTAGGAACCATTACATAATTTTATATGCGCAAAGACAGTCGCAAATTCAGAAATTTCTATTATTACAGTCTAATCTAGAGGCAACCACTCACCCTTCAGAGGAAATAAGTTTTATATCAAAAGTTGCTTGAGTATGATTACATAATATAGACAAAAGATTAGAAGAGTGTGAAATTTATAATATAAAAGTTTATATAATAAATTTTAAAAGCATTTTAGAAGATAATTATTTATGTTTACAAAAAAAAATTGTTAATGTTAAAAATTAAAATTCGATTTTTAATAAATAATAAATTCAGTAGCAAAAGTTGTAGCTATAACAAGTAAAATCCTAATTGAATAGTTAAGAAATATTACATTGTTTGAAAAGTTATATTTTTATTGTATGTAAAATAAAATGTTTCAAACATTAAAAGGTAAATTTACAATAGTAAATGATCATTTTATACGCTTGCTAATCTAACAAATTTTTTAGATTTCGGTTTTTAACAAAATATGAACCAATATTATTTTATATATTTATGGATATTTCTACTCATTTAAAATGGATTTATATCATCTTAATTTGTAAACAGTTGGGCATTTTAAAATTTACAAAAAATGGTTGGTAAAAAAATAATATATTATATTTGTTTTTGTTATTTTAATTTAAAACAAAAAATGTTCAGCTTATAACAGTGTTATTATAAAATAATTATGGGCGTTTAATATGCTCATATTTAACGATGTTATATAACTTTTTTTAAAGCCATGAAAATAATATAGGTTAATTAAATTTTTTTATTTTTAAAGATAACCAGTTTTTTATACGCTTTAAATAAACAGCAATATTACCATCGACTTTTAGAAAAGTCTTCATAATTGTTGGTGGATGCGTTGCTACTTGACATTCGTAAACACCATCATCTCTATCGGTAATATAGACAATCTGTAGCCTCCAATTATTTGGATATCTAAAACTTAATGAAATCCTTTGATCTGAACTATGTACTTGTCGACCAACAGTTAGTAGTTGTATAACATCTGCTTTTCGATGAACCCACGTCACCTGTAATGAATTTAATTAATTTTTTATGTTCGTAGGTATAGGTATTTTTGTTATTATTTATAATTTTAAGTTTTATAAATTATATCACAACTTAAAGTAAGTAAAATGTACAAAACATATTACAATTTTTCATCTGACTGGTAACTTATAATTTTAGTTGTGTCAAGTAAAATACATTAATTATTTAATAACTCAAAATATAAAAAATATTAATTTTATATATTAATTATAATATTTTTATAGTTAAATTGAAAATATTATTGTAAAAGCTGGAAAAAATTATTATATTTTGTAAATTTAAATTATAAAATGAATAAATAATGTTTAATACATTTAATGTGTTTGTATACTATTTTTTTTATTGTTTCCGCTCAAATAAATGCTTATACGAATTTAACTATTTTGTTCTGTTAGAAATGACATTATTATTATTATTATTGTGAATCAGTTTTAGTATCATATCATCTGTAAATTAACTACTTGTAGTTTGAGCATCATCAATAAAAATTTAATATTTAGATAATACATGATTTGTCGTCAATTCCATCTACTCGATTGAATCGAGAAATATAAATTTGAACTTTTTATTCGAATGTAAACATTCAAAATAATAATAATGTAATGCACGGCATTGACCAATAAACGAGTTATTACTATAGTGATTGTCAATATAGTTTCAGTAGTGAGATGTTGATGGATATACTATACTCGACGAGGAAGTGAAATGTATTGGGCAGGAATTGATGACTTTTTTGGAACACTAATCCACTCTGGCACCCTTGTCACTTTACCCGTACACTCTATACCTTTATTCTCTAAAATACATGCACAATCGGTTTTGACTATAACAACACGTAAAGTGATGCATTAATCTACAGTCTACTATATAGTAGTACACGTTGTATAGTATCCCTCATCTCTGTAGTTTGTTGTAATATTTTAGATTTTTGTCATTTTGAACTATGAATTCTTTGCATTTTAGGTTGTAGTATATTTTTTGTGGTTGGTTTTTATTTGTAAAAAAGGTTAGATCGTAAATTGAAATGACCAAAACAATAGTAAAACTGTCCTCTTTGCATATACATAAAACAGGCGGAAACCAAAATGAACATTGATGCAATGTTTGGTTAAATATTATCTTATGTTTCAAAATAATTATATCCTATACTTCCTATATAAGTGTATCAAAAATGATTTATCAGTTAGCTTATATAATAATAATTTATAATGAATTATGTTGGGTTTTTTAATTAGGTTATTTGATTTAGTTGTTATAAAAACATCTAAATACTAATTTATACAAAGTAAAGTAAAGTAAAGATAAAATTGTGTCGTTTTATGCTAATATAAATTTATTTCTAATATTTTTTAATATTAAATTTTAACGATCTGTAATTACAGAAAATATGTACGAATAAATATGTTTAAAAATCTGATAATTTTAATTCCTATAAAGAAAATAAAACTTATACTATGGAATTCTTTATTAGGCGAGTAATAATGTTAAAATAATTAAATTTTTAGATTCGTCGCGAAGCTGAAAAGGTATTACTTTTACTACGATTGTATTTTTTTTTTATTTTTTGTGTCTGTAACTACTTTTTTTAACTCTTACCGAATCGATTTCTTTCCACGATATGTCAAAAGATCACAAATCGTATTGTAAAAGGTAATAATTTTACCATGATGTGTTTTTTTTGTGTCTGTTGTCACTTTTTTTCAGCTCTCATTGGACCGATTTCTTTTCGATTGAATCGATCGAAATTTTGAAAATTTAAAAATAAATTTTTATTTTTATTATTATTAAATACCAATAGTGAAAAATATTATAAAACAAAATCTAAAAATACA